CACTTATTACTAAAGCAGTAATTTTGTCACATGAAAAAAGAGCAAATTCCGACATAAGTATTCATGAATTTTTATTGTCAAAGAGGTTTACACTACAGTAATTTCATAAAACATTCATTGTCAGATGTGCATTAAAATTTCATGGGAAGGTATACTGGAAATGAGGTAATAGCACCAGGAATATATAAGTAAATAAAAATTATATTATTCACTTAGTAACTGAAAGTTACATTTATAAACCAGGCAGCAGCTCAGCAGTGCAGTTTCTGAACACTAGCTGTTTGACCTGAGTTCTGTTCCAGGCGAACAAGCTGGCCGCATGGCCCTTTTTGTGATTTACTCCATATGTAAAGTGGATGCAAACCATTTCCCTTAAAAAGTCCTTTACAAAGGCATATCTCCCATTGGGCAAATAACTTATGTGTGCTTTCCTGTAATCAAATAAACCAAACCATTTATAATCCAATCAAACTCTCTGGAAGTATTTTCAGCAGTATTATTTAAAATCAAGATTAATAGTTATGCAAATGTTGTTTATATATGTTTGTCTGCATATACACAGATTTTTTTCATTAATTAGCATGTTTTCAAAACTGATCATTCAGCATCAGTATTTTTTATCAGTATTAAATATGTATTGCAACAGAGTCCAATTTTATATAACTTTCTGAAACACTTTTTTTCTTGTATTCCAGAAGTCCAGTCATTTAGTTATTCAATTTTCTATTTTGGAATGGAATTATTTTGCATATATTTTTGATGAGATTCTAATGGGAAGTAGCATAAAAATTGTCTAATACAGTCAAAAGTCGTTATTTCGGACACCCATAATCCGGAATGATCTATAATCCGGACCTCAAAGCTACAAACTTTCTGCGCATGCGCACAGGCGTTTACGAGAGCGCGTAAGACCCTTACGGCTGCGAATATGTTTGTGCGCATGCGCGTTTAAATGTAACGGAGTTACACGCTAAGCTAAAGTTATCTAATCAGTTAATGTTGCGATTGCGTTGTTCCTTAATCTTCGAATTGGATCCGGCTTATTATTTTTTGCAGATGTTAGAGCAATTTATAAAAGTAAGCTTGAACTTTCGATTATGTCAAATGAATTTCCGATATATATTTTAACAAAGCGAAAAAGTATGTTTGAAATCCGAATCTGTTACAATTTCACGCTGCTCTGCGGCAGAGGGGGGGGGCAGAAACGTTCATTATTAGATTATGATAGATTAGAAAGATTATGTCAAATAGAATTTCCGATAGATATTTACTAATATGTAATTTGTATTACAAGCGAAAGTATTTTTGAGATCCGAAATCTGTTTATCAATTTCACGCGGCGGATTGGAAGTTGATTTGTCAGCACTATCCTTATCTTCAGGCAGATGTTTTTATTTTATTTGTGTTATAATTCCATACTAAGTGTAGTATTTTCATTCTGTCTTTGATATGATTTAAATCAAGTTCTCGTCATATAACTCGTTCCGATAGTGAAGAAAGTGACCGAGGTTATTGAAAACGAAAACATTTCGATTGACAAATTAGTCGGTATTCTCAACACAGCAATATAGGACTTGAACAGCGGAACTTTGTAACTAAACAAGAAATATGTCTGTTTTTAATAGAATTAAAGAGAAAGTATTATCACATGAAACGAAGCAACTTCATTGAAGGAATGTTTAATAAAGTAAACAAAAATATTGAGCTTTTTCTTTTTGTAAATTTGATACCCTTTAGATCATAATTGTTCTTTATTTCATAAATTACGGTTTCATTTTTTAATTTTGTAATTTTTGCATGCCATCTTCCTGATTTAACTGCTAATCTATAATCCGGAAAAATCGATAATCCGGAATCGCCGAAGTCCCGACGAGTCCGGATTAACGACTTTTGACTGTAATTATAATATAAATTAATAAGTAAGAAGAAGGAATTCAAAATTCTCAGTTATATATAACAAGTGAAAAATCTGATATTTGCAAAATATAAAAAAATTCTCTAAAATTTTTTAAGTTCACACCACAATAAACTGTCTAATTTCTTACTTTTGCAACAAAAATAGATGTTATTACAGTTGAAGAAAAGCAGTTACCATTTCATTTTAAAATAAAGAATTGTCAATGATATGTACTGTGAAATGATACAACTTTACATAAAAACGCTATTATGGAGCTAAGGATATATTCAGAACTATCACTGAGAATGAATATTAGTAACTGAAACCAGAGTCACATCCTAGGTGAATGGACTGTTTGCATAAATATTTTCATTATTTTTTGCATGTGCTTACCAAGGAAAAATCCTTCACAAAGGCATGCTTTCCCTAAAAAATAACATTTGTTTGAATGGACTGTTTGCATAAATATTTTCATTATTTTTTGCATGTGCTTACCATGGAAAAATCCTTCACAAAGGCATGCTTTCTCTAAAAAATAACATTTGTTTGTTTTGCATATTTTTGTATAATTCAAGAAAACAAACCGCTACTATAAAACATAAAAAGGAAATTCCTTGATCATTTATCACTCGAAATGTTTTCTACAAATTTTCACTGGAAATCTATTTGAACATAAAGGATTTAAAAAGTGCTTACAAAGCAGCAGATTTCATTTTTGTGCCTTCAGATATGTTACAGAATGTGAAAAAAAACTCAATTCCATAATTGCAATTTATAGCAAATTATGATAAGCAATGTTAGTGTTATAGGTGATTGCATGACTTCTTCAGAATGCTAGCAGCACTGTTTGTACATTTTATTTATGTAAAAAGGACAAATGCATGGAGTTTACAAAGCCAGTTTACTTCAAAATCACACTTATAGCATTTCAGATGACATTTGCCATATCACTTTTGAAATAATACATCTCTTTTTAGCAACACATTTAAAATCATGCATCTGTTTTTAGCAACACCAAAAATTCATATTGTAGAATAAAGCATACAAATGCAGTGTGGGTTAAGGACATTTTCGCAATGTTGCAATAATGCAAAATTATATTTGAGAGAAATGAAGGCTGCTTTTTTTTTTCCTACACTTGTAAAGATAATTGCCAGTTAAACTTCATATTTGAGTCAGGAGAGAGGATAAAAACCCTATCACTTAAGACCAAAGAAGAACTTTTTTTATTTTCTGCCTGGGATAGTTATCTGGAGATGCTCCTGTAATGTGCAGTATATTAGCACATTAAAAAATAGCACCACATATCCATATAACGAGGCGTATTCGGAAACTAAGTACTGTTTTGGGAAAAAAAAAAAAAAAAAAAATAGTAAAACAATTTTTAATTCAATGTTATTTTTACATGAAAATACATGTCTTAGACTATTTTTCATGATAGTTTCCGCCAATGATCAAACACTTGTCATAGCAGGTGACCAGTTTTTGTATACCATCGTCAAAGAAACTTCCCGCCAGTTTCGATAACCACGACTCCACAGCATTTTTCGTGTCATCGTCAGATCCAAAGCGCTTGCCACCAAGCTCGCGCTTCATGTGCAGGAACAAGTGATAGTCGGACGGTGCCAAGTCCGGGCTGTACGGCGGGTGATCGAACTGCTCCCAATGAAACTGTCGAATTAACGATTGAGTGACACCAGCAGTATGGGGCCGAGCATTGTCATGGAGCAACACAATTCCTTTACTGAGCATTCCTCTTCTTTTGTTTTGAATGGCATGCCTTAGTTTTGTTAAAGTCTCACAATATCGTGCTGCATTAATGGTTTCACCTCTGGGAAGAAATTCAGTAAGCCAAACGCCTTTCCTATCCCAGAAAACTGTGCACATGATTTTTTGTGATGACATTGTCACTTTGAACTTTTTTTTTTTTTTTGGAGAATGAGTGTGTCTGCACTCCATTGATTGTTGTTTCGATTCTGGTGTGAAATGACACACCCAAGTTTCATCACCTGTCACAATTTAGTTTAAAACGTTTTCTCCCTCATCACTGTACCGCGTGAGAAATGTCAGGGCACTACCAAGTCGCTTTGTTTTGTGAACATCAGTGAGCATTTTTGGAACCCATCGGGAACACAGTTTGCGATAATTCAAGCGGTCAGACACAATTTCGAACAAAACAGTACGTGAAATTTGTGGAAATGCCTCTGAAAGAGTTGTCATTGTGAAGCGTCTGTTCTCATGAATTGCTTCATCAACTTTCCTTACCAAATCATCGGTGACAACAGAAGGCCGACCACTCCGAGCCTCGGCGTGGACATTTGTTCGACCTGCATTAAAAAACATTCTTACCCACTTTCTCACCATTCCATCACTTATCGCGTATTCACCGTAAACTTCTGTCACTTGACGATAAATTTCGGCCGGTTTAACATTCCTCGCGTTCAAAAATTTAATCATGGCATGAATCTCACAGTCAGCGGGAGAACTAATTGTCTTAAACATTTTGAATGTGCACAGCAAACTGAAAACACAACAATGAGCAACCAAAATGGTGACAATTGAAAGTCAGTGAACAAGAAAGACTAGTGCGCATGCACGGGACGCCTACCACAACGCTAGAATAAAACAGTACTTAGTTTCCGAATACGCTACGTATTTAACTCTTCTTTAGTTGTCTGTTGATGTTGCAGATCAATGCTTTGAAAAAATTATTTGTACAAACATAGAAGCTGTACAAAATGATCTTGTTAATTTTGAGTACACAGTTCAAAAATGTTTTAATGAATGTAATAAATATTTCGTATTATGTATCTGATTATGTATTGTATGTGTAAAATTTTAATAAAAGTTATGAGTATATAGGAATAGTTATATTAAATTGCTTCTCAACACAGATTCCATTAAATGCTTTCACTGTGGGGTAAAATACTTTGACAGCTACTGAATTATCTTATTGTTTGTTTTAATCAATTTTTAAGAAGTTTGAACAGCTTTGTATTTTGTTGTATGTGTACATCATTTCTTATCGTAAGAATTTAAATTTTTTTATTTTACTTATAGCATATAGTATAAAAAATAATTAATTTCATTTTTGATTTTTCAGTTATTGCATGCAAGCCATCTCCCAACCCCTATTTTTCAGCACTTCTGTTCACAGACCAAATATTTGAGGAGGAAGATACAGATAATTCAAATAAAACTCCATCTACTCAATGTAAGCATATCCAAAATCAGTGGTTTATTATTATTATTACTATCCCACCCCTGAGTACGAAATGCATACTAGATCATGCTCTGCTTTAAGAAAAAGGGGGGGTCTGTTACAGTGTATTAGCATAATAATTTATATTTATTTGATATTCTAAAAGTAATTCTATTTTTATTCAAGGTTTTAGAAATAGTTAACTAAGAAAATTACCTCCCCCCCCCCTTTTTTTTTTTTTTTTGTTGAAAAATAATTAAAATCAGTAATATCAAGTGTAGGTAATGAAATAGTAAATGACATTTGCATTCAAGTAATGTTATTACTTATGGAATTTTCATTTGGCATTTCATAAATTACTTTCTTAGCCTTTTATGTAGATCACATTGTTTTTAATTTATAATCTTTGCTGAGTTAAAACCAAGAAGAAAATTAAATTTCTCCCACTGGCATTACAGTAATAAAATATTTACAGATAAAAGGTTCCTCAGGTTCTGAAAAGTCTAGAGCTAGGCTTGAGCATTGTCAGTTGGTTCAAGATTGAGAGTTTGGGCTCAAATAAATTTGCAACAGTGGCAAATCTTTTTCTTGAAATATAATGCTTTAATTGGAAAAAGTCATTAAAACAAATTCTTTTGCAGCCAGATATCTTTCATGCTGTAGCCCAGGGATTAACAACCTTTTCTTGCATCGACCCCCTCATATTTTTTTTAATATGTAATATACAACATAATCATAATATTAATAATTGGGCATAAATAATTTAAATATAACAGTTAAACTAAATACACAAACAAAAATTTTGCCAAAAAAGTTCTCGACTTTTGTTTTATTATTTTTTGTATTACAGTCAAAAGTCGTTATTTCGGACACCCATAATCCGGAATGATCTATAATCCGGACCTCAAAGCTACAAAACTTTCTGCGCATGCGTCGCGGTTAAACGCATGCGCACAGGCGTTTACGAGAGCGCGTAAGACCCTTACGGCGTGCGAATATGTTTGTGCGCCGCGCGTTTAATGTGTACGGAGTTATACGCTAAGCTAAAGTTATCTAATCAGTTAATTTGCAATTGGCGTTGTTCCTTAATCTCGAAATGGATCCGGCTTATTATTTTTGCAGACTGTTTAGAGCAATTTTATAAAAAGTAAGCTTGAAACTTTCGATTATGTCAAAGGAATTTCCGATATATAATTTACACAAAGCGAAAGAAGTTTTTTTGAAATCCGAAATCTGTTATCAATTCACGCTGCTCTGCGCAGATGGAGGGGGGCAGAAAGTCATTATTAGATTATGATAGATTAGAAAGATTATGTCAAATAGAATTTCGATATATATTTACTAATATGTATTTGTATCTACAAAGCGAAAGTATGTTTTGAAATCCGAAATATGTTTATCAATTTCACGCAGCAGAATGGAAAGTTGATCTGTCAGCACTATCCTTATCTTCAGGGCATATGATTTTATTTTATTTGGTTTATATTCCGTACTAAGTGTAGTATTTTCATTTCGTGTACTCCGTCTTTGATATGATTAAAATCAAGTTCCTCGTCATTATAATTCGCTTCCGATAGTGAAGAAAGTGACCCAGAGGTTATTGAAAACGAAAACATTTCGATTGACAATTAGTCGGTATTCTCAACACAGCAATTATAGGACTTAACAGTGGAACTTTGTAACTAAACAAGATTATGTCTGTTGAATAGAATTAAAGAAAAAGTATTATCACATGAAAGAAGCAAACTTACATTGAAAGAAATGTTTATAAAGTAAACAAATAAATATTAAGCTTTTTCTTTTTGTAAATTTTGATACCCTTTAGATCATAATGTTCTATTTCATAAATACGGTTTCATATTTTTTAATTTTTGTTTTCTGCATGCCTCTTACCAGATTTAAACTGATGATCTATAATCCGGAATCGCCGAAGTCCCGACGAGTCCGGATTAACGACTTTTGACTGTATTATTTTTGTTCTAAAAAATATGAAGTTTTCTGACACAAAATCATAGATTCTAATTGCTCAAAAGTTCAGTTTTAATTAATGTGATGACTATGCTTGATGTGTTAATGGAACGTTTTAAATCTTTGGCACAAAATTGCTTAACTTAATTCTTAAATCACCTCATTCAGAAATATTCAACCTCATTTTTGTCTTATTCATTATTATTATAATCTGATAGTCCATTATTTACTTGACTAAAGCCTGCTTCCACTGGTTAAGAAGAGGGAAAAGTCAATAATGTTGTCTGGTAACAACTTTAATTTGGAATATTTCTGTGGGATGCTTTTTAAATTCTGAAAATTAGTGTACCCATGTGTTTTGAATAAGACTCACTTATTTGTATGATAAAGTTTTATATCAATAAATAATAATTATCAATTTTATTAATATGTTTTTATAATTGTTGGGATCTTGATGTGACAACAGCTAGTACATCTTCAGCCATTGATCCCCAGTCAACCCTTTGATCATCATAGACCCTTGTAAAATTTCATCGACCCCTAAAGAGGTACATACCAACCTTGTAGCCATTAATTAAACTGTATAGGTCTATCTTCCACTGATTTTCACTGGCAACTTTTTTTTTTTTAAGCTCTGTGCATTTACTCTATTTTTTTACATCCTTTTGAAGACCTGAAGAATTTTCTATTTTAAATTTGGATGATAAAATAAGTGATTTTCCTTTCATTAACTCACTACCTCTGATAGGTAAATCAAAAGCTGGCTTTTTTTCTGAGTTAAAGTTGATTCTAAAATTTGAAATTTTTCCATCTGAATTCTAGATTGTTTCTTTGTCATACATTGTAAAGTCATTATCTAAATTTCTAATGAAATCTTTATTTTACAAGATTTCTTTCAAAATTTATTTTGGTAATTAATTTTTTTTTCTTTGTCTAAAGATTTTACATTTTCTGTTGCCTGAATGACTTTATTAATAAATGAGATATATAAAACTTTTCTGTGTTCATATTCCTAAAATTTAAAATTTTAAAACATTTAAAATTCTTAAACATGTCACATATTTTTTTTCACTATACTTAATAGGATATAATAAAAAATATTTTAAATCTACTAGAGTCAAACAACAAAATTTTTGCCAAAGTTCTTTATTTTTGCAATGCACACTTGACAGTGCATTTCAAAATGCAGCATATAAATAACAGAATTTAAACATTTTCCTATTCCTCATTCGAGGATCTGGAATAAGTAACATGTAATCAATTGAATTGTATAAATTAGAAGTCATTATATTTTTCATGGTAATTATTAAAAATTACTTAACATTTGAATATCCTTAGAAAAGTAATAAATAAATGGAACATTTGTATCTTACTAACATAACATCAAGGTGAACCTGGAAATGACTAAATGGTGTTTTGAGTAAAAATTAAAATAGGGTAAATTAATTCAACAGAAAACTAGATTGTCTAAAATAAATTTTTAAAACTATTAACTTTTTTAAGATTGAATTTCTTAAGTATAAGCTTTATTATACTATATTGCTGTATAATGCTTTCATTCTTCCCATAAAAATGTAAAAGCATAATCATAAAACATTTAGAGAAAATATTTCTATTTAGCTCACAGCAAGATCCATGGTCAAGAAGAAATTACTGAGTCTTGGAAAAGAGAAATTATCTTAAGCTTAATAGCTTCTTTAGCAGATTGTACCTTTGTGTGCAGCAGTGGCGGCTCATGGCTAAAATTAATGGGGGTGCTGTTCCAAAAAAATTTAACCTTTGTTTTAAAATTGTGTAAAAGGAAACAAACATTTATAAAAGAACATTTATTTTAAACTTCATGAAACTCTACAAAAAAAAATAAACATTCTTAATTACTTAACCAAAATTGTACAGTTCATCTTTGTCCTATTCATTAAAAATGAAATCATTCTTCTTGTTTGAATGGGCAAAAAGATAATTTTCTCCTTGATCTCTGGGACAAGTGAGGAAATTTTTTTTTATTGAAGCAATTCAACCATTAGTCTCTCCGAATCCTAGTTTTCTTTAGAAAAGTTTTCATCTTTCAATGTTGTAAAAGAGCATTTGCCTGTGATGTAATCATGGGAACTCTCAAGAGAATTTATCTTTTTATCATTTCGTAATTTCACTAAGAACGTCATCTGATTATTTCGAAGATAAATTTTAGTAGCTTAATTAATTTGCAGTATTTATGGATATCAGACTTACAACAGAATACTTTTAGTTCAGTTTCAAGTTTTTCTTTGTCAGTCATTGGATATGCTTCAGTGTTCAATACTATTTCTTCTGTAGAATGTTCATTCCTAAAACTAAGGATTTCTTGTTAAACAATCTACCAGCTGCTAAGTGTTTAGTGGAAGAATATCTGTGCATTATATCACTACATAGTATTGAGTAGTTTTGAGTATAACTACTCAATACTCTGTATTGATCATAATATTGATTATACATAGTTTTTAAGTCACATATTTCCAGTAGCTGCCATCAGTGCCTTTGAAAAAATTGCTCACAGTACTTTGGTTCTTAATTCTAAAATAGAATTGAATTTGTTATATATTCATTAACTTTAAGCACATATTTTTGGATTGCATGTAGTTGTATATTATTTCAACTGAGGAATCTGATAAGAACTTAGCCAAAACTTGAAGTATCATCATTTATATTTTAAATCCTGTGCTTTTGCAATAGTTTGATCTGCATTTGATGTTGACTGAATTTCAGTAAGGAAATTTTTTAAAAGTTGCAAATTTTCATGAACTCTGTTTATGGTCCGTATGATGAAGTTCCACCTGGAGGAATACTACACGCGCGGAGTAAAAATAAATCGCGTTTTCAATAACATGCTAGAATTTCGTTTTCAATAACATGCAAGAGCGACAGTGCTCCCCTCTCTACCCGGCTCATGTGCTGCTTTCTGTGAGCGCACGTGCAGAACAGCCAAACACCCCGTCACTGGAACTGTGAAGCGTGCAGTTCCAAACAAAAACTTTAGTACCTTTTTCACAAAGTGGGGGATGGCTACTGACATTAAGCTTAAGAAATTATGTATTGTAAAAGTATAAAGAAAGAATTAAAGACTAAAGGGCACGCTATATTAAATATTAAAAATAAGTAATAATTGGAAATAAGGGTGCTGCAGTTCCACAGTGCTTATTACGAGCCGCCACTGCTATGCGGAGAGGTGCTTCTTCAACAGTTTTGCTTATGGTTAGAACTCATCCCCTAAATGCAAAGGGATATGCTCTAGCCAGAGCCAGATTTAGACTTGATAAGGCCCTAAGCTATTTGAGATATGGAGCCTCTATAAGTCTAATAAATATTTTTAATATTATAAGTTTGGGGAGGTCCCTAAGCTATAGCTTGTGTAGCTTATACGTAAATCTGGCTCTAGCTCTAGCCATGTGCTTTCTGTCAGTTGAGAAAAGAATTGTAGTATATAAGATATACCAAGTTTGGTCATTATGAAAAAAGATATTGCTGCAGTCACACTTGTTATGTAGAAATTACATGAAGCTTATTGCTCATTTTGATCGAATCAGTAGAATTATATCTCTGTTCAGAGGGAAAGTTCTGGTCTTGTATGCCAGCAGGAGTCAGGTCTTCAAAAATGCAACTCTGCACCTCCCTTTTGTTCTAATTTTGTTTTCTTTTCTGTAGATTAAATTTAAGTATTTGTATTTTTATAATAAGCCCTTTTTTTTATTTTACTTAAAAAATACTGTCTAAATCATTTTCTTTAATTTGAAAATAAATGTTTAAAAATTATTTATTACTTATTTAATTTGGTTCTTTATTATTATTATTATTGTTATTTTAGATGCTCATGAAGATGCAGAAAATCAGAAAGATTCCACTACTGATAATGATATTATGGATAATCCTTATCTTAGACCAGCAAAGCTTCAGAGAAAAAGAAGAAAGTGAAACACATGCTTCATTTTCTTTTTTCACGATTTTTGTTTCATTTTCATGATTTCCATTTAATGATAATTTATATTCATACCATTTATTAATGTATATTCATATCCATCTCATTTTTATTATATTTAATAAAACGTTTTTATGACATGGTTTTGTATATTTATTTTTATTACAAAGATACATATTATGCTAGCTTATACTTTGAATGACATTCTCATTGCTACTTATTAGGGTTTATAAAAGAACCAACGTTTTTGAAAAACTGGTTTTCAAATTTTTGTCAAAAAAAAAAATAGAATAGGGAAAAATATTTATTTAATTTATGTAAAATAACAAAAAATAAAATCAGTATCAAAGTCAAAATATAAAAAAATTAAGGATTACTTATACATATTACTTACACAAAATAACAAAAACTCAAGCAAAAATTTCAAATAATATTTATATTATTTTCACGAATTCTAATATCTCCTAAGAAAATAGGATTTTAAAAAACATAAAATATCCATTGAATGGTGGCTAAGTCTTGTTCTTATTTTGGACACAATATTACCTGAAATATAAAATACTCGTTCACTGGCTACTGAGCTTGGTTTTATAGTTTCCCGGGCATCAAATAACAAATCTAAGTTTTTTGTTCTTTTATTCATTGCCTCAAATAGTGAAAATTCAGCTTTCAGTGTCGTTGAATTTGTAACTCTTTGTTCGGGATCTTCAGAAAACTTATGAATTGATTTTCCCATGGCTTCTTTTGAAAAAGCTTACTCTGATGAGTAGTTTCTTCAATTTGCTCTTCATCAGAATCTGTTTCCACATAAGAATTTGGAAATATTCTGGACAACATCTTTCCAGCTGTTTTAATAATTTCGATTTCTGAAGCTTAAGGAAGTACGCTAGATTTCTTCCCTGAACTAGAAATCTTTTGTGGATTTTGCAAATACAGCGAAAGAGTTGCTAGTTCTACTTGATTTCTTTGTTGAATTCATTCTTCTAAAGCATATAATAATTTCAAACTTACTTCAGTGTTTAAATTTTTTTAGTTCATTTAATAGAAATTGAAAGATACCTTCACTTGTTAATAAATTGGCATCTCATCGCCCTAAGCCTTCAGCTGATAGACGGATAGGTCCCGAGACTTTATGAAGTTCTAAAAGTTTAGGATATTCAGCTTGATTCCACATATAAGAACCAACTTCATTCAGTGCTAAAACAACACATTCTTTTACTGCCAGAAATCTTCCAATCATGTCATCCATACTATTCTACCTTGTTTTGTAATCACGAATTAAATTTAATTCCTTTCCTTTTTCTTTTTTGATATAATTTTGAAGAATGGTGTTTCTTACTGGAAATTTTCTAAAAAACTTACAAATTTTTCTAATTTGTCAAACTGATTGTGTGTAATTGTCAGACAAAATAGGAATAGAATGTTCTCGATTACAAATGTGTATACGATTGGTTAAGCACGTCTTTTCCACGTGCACAATGCAGAAGCACTGGCCAACGTTGAAAAAATGTATTTACTGCCAGTTGCATGGAATGAATAGCAAATCAAATAAGTTTAAATTAATTTTTACATAATATAATATCAATTCTTTAAACCGGTTTTCGAATGTGATAAATTTACTTTAAAAACCAGTTTTTTAAAACCGGGTTTGCAAACCAGTCAAACTCTACGACATACTTTTATCACTTGAGATTTTCTGACTTTATATCAGTGTTATTAACCGAATAAGATCATTAGATCTTTACAGATTTTTTAAGGTTTACATTTACTTAACATGTTAGTTATGGTAGTCGAATTAAAGAAAAAATGACATCTAAATAAAATTACGTAGAATAATTTAGAATACATACGGTATGCATTATTTTTTTAACTGTTATGAAATTTTACTTCATATCATAATACTGAGAAATGGTTTATTAATATAAGGGTTTGGATAATGATTCTTCACACCCAGGATTTGGCGAATGGGTCCCTTAAAACCCCAGTCACCGTTTAAAAGAGGGAGTATATAAGGTATTTCTCCTGCCTTCGTGGTGTGGTGGTCTGCATGCTGAGCTGGTATTCATGAGGTCTGCAGTTCAGTTCCCGGCCAAGGCATTTGCTCAGTTTTCATCTTATCTGCTTCCAAAATACCTAATGTCTCCTACAAACTGATTAACTGTAAAAACATTCTTACGTGCTGTTTCTTTCTGCAAATGAAAAAGAATGTTTCTCAGGTGTGGTTGAAGCAAGAGGAATTAACATTTTTCACTATAAAATAAAATTAATTAAAAAATTAAAGATTAAATTTATTAATTTTTTCACTTTGAATAAATCAGTAAATTTGCTTTTTAAAATCTTTTTTATTTTTTTTTTACTTATTTATTTACTTGGCAGCTGTAAATGAATTATAATGTGTGATGCATTATAATATGTGATGTCTGGGCAAATAAGACATTTCTAACAAGCACCTGTAATGCATTTATTTGATCTTAAGATTAAAAAATTGCTCATCAGTGATTCTTTTAATTTAATTTCTGCATAGGCATTATTTTGAAGTCTTGCCTTTATTATAATTTGGGAAAAAAATTGAGTAGTTTTTTTTAAAAGGCAAAAAATCAGATTTCTGAAGTTGTAACAATTATATACAGTCAAAAGTCATTAATTCGGACACCCATAATCCGGACCTCAAAGCTAAAATGTTTCTGCGCATGCGCTGCGTTGAATAGAATTTCCGATACTGGAGCTCCCAAAGGACCTACAAAACGAAAGTATGTTTCGATGTCCATCAAACAAAAAGTGGAATTGCTACAAAAAATGGATAAAGACATATCCTTTGTTTATCTAACCGTTCCGAAATCTGTTTATCAATTTCACGCAGCTCTGCGCAAGGGGGGGGACGTCGCAGCGCACAATTAACTGGAAGTTGATCTGTCAGCACTATCCTTATCTTCAGGGCAAATGTTTTTATTTTATTTGGCTTATAATTACTTACTAAATGTAGTATTTTATCTCGATGTACTCCGTCTTTGATATGATTTAAATCAAATTCCTCGTCATTATAAATATCAAGAATACAAATCAAATAGTTTTCTGGTTGCAATTTCCTAATTTCGGCTATGCGTAATGTATGCTTTACGCATGCGCGCGTTGAAAGAAATGTTTAATAAAGTAAACAAATAAATATTAAGCTTCTTTTTTTGTAAATTTTGATACCCTTTAGATCATAATTGCTCATTATTTTATAAATTACGGTTTCATATTTTTAATTTTATAATTTCTGTATGACATCTTACCAGATTTAAACTGATGATCGATAATCCGGAAATGCCGAAGTCCCGACGAGTCCGGATTAAAGACTTTTGACTGTAGTACAATAGAAAAAATACAGCCACAGATAGGAGTCTAACTGATAAATTTTTCCTTTGAAACAAACTCTTGATGCATTATCTTCATAGTTCATGAAGAATGATGTATGTAAATAAAAGTATATGTAGATGAAAGTTCTGTAAAAAAAAAAGAAATGCTTGGTATATCATGCAATGCACCAAAGCCCAAATTCTGATCACTTCCTCATAATAGGCAGCTGTAATGGCCAAAGCCGATAATATGGAATCATTTATTACTTCAGCTTTAGTTCAGTTTTCACATAGATTAAGAGAAACTGACCAAACTGAAAAACTGACCATTTTTACTTTAACTTTCAATGATTTTTCATGGAACTATAGTCAAAAGTCTTTAATCCTGACTCGTCGGGACTTCGGCGATTCCGGATTATAGATCATCAGTTTAAATCTGGTAAGATGGCATGCAGAAATTATAAAATTAAAAATATGAAACAGTAATTTATGAAATAAAGAGCAATTATGATCTAAGGGGGTATCAGAATTAATAAAAAAAAGAAGCTTAATATTTATTTGTTTACTTTATTAAACATTTCTTTCAACGCACGCATGCGTAAAACATACATTACACATAGTCGAAATTAGAACATTGCAACGAGAAAACTATTTGATTTGTATTCTTGATATTTATAATGACGAGGAATTTGATTTAAATCATATCAAAGACGGAGTACATCGAGATGAAATATTACATTTAGTAAGGAATTGTAAGCCGAATAAAATAAAAAACATCTGCTCTGAAGATAAGGATATTGCTGACAGATCAACTTCCAGTTCATTGCGCGCCGTGTCGTGCCCCCCCGCACAGAGCAGCGTAAAATTGATAAACATATTTCGGAATGATTAGAGAATAAAGGATATGCCTTTATCCATTTTTTGCAGCAATTCCACGTTTTGTTTGATGGACATCGGAACATGCTTTCGCTTTGCAGATCCAGAATCGGAAATTCTTTTTGACATAATCGAAAGTTCAAGCTTACTTTTATAAATTGCTCTAACAGTCTGCAAAAATAATAAGCCGGATCCAATTAGAAGATTAAGGAACAACGCAATCTGCAACCTTAACTGAAATAGATAATTAGATAATTTTAGCTTAGTTTATACCGTCCGTTATACATTAAACGTGAATGCGTAAACGTATTATGCGCGTTCGTTGACGCATGCGCAGAAAGTTTGTAGCTTTGAGGTCCGGATTATAGGTCATTCGGGATTATGGACGTCCGGATTAAAGACTTTTGACTGTATTGTCTTGGTGGAGGAAAGATCTTTTTACTACTTAAGGACGTAACCATTAAAAGCTACATTTTTACCATCAAAGCCATTAATATGTAATGATACAAACAACTTTTTTTTTTTTTCCTTTTAAATTTTTTTTTTTTTTTTTTTTTTTTTTTTTTTTGAAGGGGGGTATGGACATTTGAATTTTTTCATGGCAACACATTTGGAGAGTCCCTATTCTTAATTCGACTTTGGCACTAAATAAAATGCTTCCATAATGAAGGAATAATCATTTGTTTGCATAAATCTGTATGATAGTTATTTGGGCCAGTAGCGACTTTTTTTGCTTGGCCTACATCTCGAACCAAAACATATTACATTGAAACATAATTGATTTTACACCTGCTGAATAATTTATACTATGTTTAATAGCAACCTAGCGAATCATTTTTCTTTCTTATTTTTTTGCTTTCCTCACCGCTTGACTATCAACACATGGTAG